CTTGGGGCTTGTCCTGGGCGTGCGGGGCAGGGCTGGCCACTCCAGTGCTTGCCTGAGCCACCACGTCAGAGCTGGGATGTGTGCGGCGTGCACGCTGGGAGCCCGGCCAGGGAGCGCCTGTCCCCCAGAACAGATGGGAAGGCGGTGTGGGAGGTGCACCTGCCCTCTGGTGGCTGCCTCCATGGCAGGGCGACCCCAGACTTCCCTTCCTGAGGCGCCCGCTGCCTCACCTGCCCGGGGCCTCCCTGCCTGTCTATCCCCTCCCCAGCACTGCCAACGTTGACTGACGGAGAAGCCCTCTCCTTCTGCGTTTGCAGTTCTCCTGAGCCCCGGGCCGATGGGGCAGTGTGGGCACACAGGGCCAGCCAGAGGCTTCCCAGCTCCTCCTGTGCTCTGCACACCTGGCTGCTGGCTGCTCCCTGCCCCTGCCCCTGTCCCTGCACAGCCTGTGGGCCTGCCCTCCACATACCTGCGGCCCACCCCTAGGTGCTGCGGGCCTGGGCCTCCCCTGACTCCTGTGGCCTCCCAGTTGCTGCGGACCTGGGCCCCCAGTGACCCCTGCGCCCTGCCAGGTGCTGCGGGAGCCCCTGAGGCTAGATGTTGTCCAGCGTGAGCTGCCCCTCGAGGTGAGCCAGGTGCATCTGGAGGTGCTGGAGCTGCAGAGGCAGGTGCTGGAGCTGAGGCGGCACCTCGGCCTGACCCAGCTCAAGCTGCAGCGGCGCCCAGCTGGGAAGCAGTCTGCCTCGGACACCCCGACTCTGAGGACGGAGGTGGGTGCCCTGCCCAGGGAGGGCATGTCTCCTGGGAGCGCCTGCAGTGCCCTGGGAAGGTGGTGCCCCCTCCTGCTATGCTGTCCTTGCGCTCACTGCTGCTGGGCTCAGCTTGGCCACTCGCTGCTGAGGTGCAACCTGTCCCTTGGCCAGACCCTTCGCACAGGGGGCCGTGGCGAGGGCTGCCTCACGGCCTCTAAAAGGAGACTGTGGCTGTGGCTCTGAGAGGAGTCCCTGCCCCTGCCGTGCCTACGTGGCCCATGCCTGCATGATGAGTGGCACCTGGTGGCATGCAAGGCTGTGCCCACTCTGCTCCATGACCTGTGACAGCCTGGGGCTGTGGGTGGGTGCCCAGCTGGTGGCAGTGACCTGGTGGCTGGGGGCCTCAAGAGTTCTCCGGCAGGAAGAGCACAGGTTGGGACAGGGCTGAGGCCGGCCCCAGGCCTGTGCCAGGGAGAGCACAGGAGTGACTAGAGAAGACAGTGGCCCTGGTGCTTGGGGCCGTGAGGGAAGATGAGGGTGAGTCTGCAACCACCTTGGCACTGGCGAAAATGGAAGGGGGCAGGCGGGCGGGCGGCCTGTGGTACCTGGGCCAGCCACGCTTGGTGCTGGGCACCTATAGGTCAGCGGGTCCGGAGGTGGGGTGGCGTCGGTGCCTCTTGCTAAGCCTGCCCCTCTGCCCAGCGACCCGGTCTGTTACCCGTAGAGACGCGGTCACAGCTTCAGCTGAGACCTCCTGGGAGCAGCAGGGGCAGGGCCAGCCGGTGCTTTCTGGGTCCCTGCTCTATGCACGGCACCATCAGGACATGCGGGCGGGCTGGAGGGCAGGCCTGGAAGGGGTCCCCTCTGGGTAGAAGGACATCATGGGAGACCAGCAGGCGGCGTAGTTGCTCTGTCACTGGACTCGCATGTAGTCAGCCGTGGTCTGAGTCCCGGACCTCCCGGCTTAAGCTCACGCCCAGCACATGTTGCTGTGTGCCCCAAATCCCAAGAGGAAATGGAGGAGAAGGAATTGTGGCATGGTCATCCCCGGGGGGTGGTGGTGGTGGTGGTG